GATATTTTTTTTTTTTTTTTTCATTTCATAATTTCAAATATAAACGAGAGAGAGAGAGAGAGAGAGAGAGAGAGAGAGAGAGAGAGAGAGAGAGATTCAGGAAAAAAAAATCACAATTGGAAACTTTTTTGTTTTGTTTTGTTTGTCGAATTTAATTTTCATCAAAATTAAACATCATTGAAGTTTATCTCTCTCTCCTAAATTCTCTTGGTCAAATTGGCCAATCAAAAACTTCATTTTAAACTATTTCAACAAAATGATTGATTCATTGATCAAGGATGAGGAACAAAAAAGAAAAAACTTTATGAGAAAGTTTCCGAAAGTAAAAAAAAAATCCGATTATATCGAATTAATCTCCGAATGTATAGGTGATAATAACAATATTTGTCGAAATGGACTGGAAATTTTTCTGGAAAAAAATTATTCAGGCATAAATTCTTTCCGAAAAATTTTCCAAATGATAATGATTTTTGAAAAATAAAAAATTAAATTTTCTCCACTTGCCAACAGTGAAACAAAACAAAAAAATCACAAAGTTTATTAATTCTGGGAAATTTCCAATCCAAAAATTATTAAATTTTCATTTTATTTTTCATTTTCAAAATGATTAATGAAATATTAATGCCACTCAAAACCCAAAAACCCAAAACGCAAACACAGACACGATCGAGGATTGTCATTGTAAAATTTTATTAAAAATTTTTTCGGGAAATTTCCCTGTATATTCAAATATTGAAAAATCTTTCAAAATTTTTCTGGGTTTAAATTAAATTTTTCAGCACATCATCAATAGACGGTGCAAGAATTCGTTGGAAAAAATTCTTTCGCAGTATTTTTTCCAAAATTAAAACAAAAAAAGCAAATTCCACTCGATTTCATTTCGGATCGATGAATTTTTCATTGGAATTTTTTTTTGTTTTGTTTGTTCAAAAAATTTCAATGAAAAAAAAACAAATACTTTTCAGCAACGATAATAGATACAGCAACAACAACAAAATTGGAAAGCGACTGAAACGAAAAACGATGATGAAATTTTCTAGCTAGTTAATTGAAATTAATTAAATTTAAATCAATCAATCAATCAATCAATATCATCATTGTAAACATTTATTCAATGTTTGTGATGCGGTTTTTTCATCATCATCATCATCAGCATCATTTTTGCTTCATAGATCAAATTTCATCGACAAGATTGAATTTCATTTGAATTTGGCTGGCTGGCTGATATTCTCAACTTTTTTCGTTTCTTTCTGAAATGAAAACATCGTTGTTTTCTAGCCTGAAAAGAATCGTTGAAATGAAATTAAACCAGACAAAAAAAGGGTTGTTTCATTTGACTCAAATTATCTTTCTTTTTTCATCAGATTTCAGCGTTCAACACCTACCTACTTACACCAAAAAGCACACAAAAGTTTTTCATTAGTTAATTAATTTTTTTCCTGTTGTGCAATTTGAAATTCAAAAGAAAACAAAACAAAACAAGAATCGACTGTATAGTTACCCTTGGTTATTTCATCAGTGTTTCATTAGGACCAAAAATATGTTCCAACAAACAAAAAATTAATCCTTAATTTCACTCTTTCTCTCTTCCGAAAAAGTAACTAAGGATTAAAAAATGTGTGTTTTCAAAGTTTAAATTTTTCAAAATGAAGAATATTTTCGCACAAAACAAACAAACAAATTCTTGAATGACAGTTGAAAAACAAAATTCACAAGCAAAAAAAAATTCAGTTTAAAATAACCCCGAGAAAAACAGCAGAGATGAAAAACTCGAACAGGAAAAGCACATTTATCATTATTTATATCAACATTGCGATGACGATTAACACATATATAATTAAAATGAAATTTTCTTCTTCTTTTTGACTTTTACTTTCATCATCATCATCATCATTTATAAAACTACTAGAGAAACAGAAAAATGATTGATTATAATGTTGTTTACATACCGATTTTTGGGATAGTTTTTTGGATAATTTGTGTGTGTGTGTGTGACAGCTTGATTTAAATCTGGTTTGTTATCATCATTATCATCATTATGATGATGACAATTTAATTACCATATTTTTCTGTTTGATCAATCGGGGTAGATTTGTTTTATCACCTGGATTCTAAATTTCTAATTTTTCTGCTTGTTCTGCTGTTGTCATTCATTCTTCTTTCTTTTGTTTTTTATTGACAATGACGACAGCAACGACAATAAAATCCCCAATTTTATTATCAAATTTTTGGGTTATCTCACCGGAGAGAGATAGGTTGTAAGGTTTTTTGGGAAAATAAATGTCAAATTCCAGTTGTTCGGAAAGTAATGTCGTATTTTTGTAAAAATGGAAATTTTTCCTTTTTTTCATTTTATTTAAATTAAAAAACTAAAGAAAATTTATGTCATCATCACGTGTATCATTCATGCATGGTGTATGATTATTTTTGTTTTTGCCATCAGCAAAATATGGTATCTCGATGGCTGGTTTCACTGATCTGATCCCCTCACGGTTTTCTTTTGTTATTTTGTCGCACTGAAAATGGATTTTTTTTTGCTTCTTTGTTTCGCTTGGCTCGTAAATTCTGCACAGAATTTATTCTGTTCATTCAGTTCATTCAGTTCAACTGGAGACAATGTTACATATTGGATGGAAACAGGATTTTTCATCCATCCAGCCAGCCTGCCATTAAGAAAGGGTGATGTTTTCATTGTTTGTTTGTTTGTTTTGTTGGTTGAAATGTGTGAAACACCACCACCACCAAGCAAAATGCAAACAAGAATTCAACAACATCTGATACCATATAAAAGACATGATGACAGACCGCTGTCCCCCCAGAAAAAATGAACTGAAATTCTGGTTACTTTTTGGTTGATAGATTTTGAAGG